ACAGATGATGTGCAGGTCCTCAGTTCAACATATTTCTAATGGCATGAAATATAAAGCATATTAAGTAAAAACTTTTATGCTTAACTTAAAATAATGATCGCTTGTCTGTGAAGTGGATATTCTCAGTTTTCTATGTTTAAGCAATGTTAATAAAGGCCAGTTTTAGTGGGCATTAATAATTGAGGTATTTCCAGCTTATAATAAACAAAAATGAGGAGAATTGGGGATCTAAAGATGAAAAACACCTGGAACTAGCCGCCTCATGTTTGCAGAAGTGGAGAAAGTTAAAGGTTGAAGTTTCTGTCACAACAGTTACAGAAGCAGCTCTGGATAAACTATGAGGCCCACAGTAAGCCGATTTAAACAGCTGCCAACTGCAATTATGCAGTATGAAGCTCTTCTGTGACTTGTGTCACCCTTCCAAGATTGGCTCTGCTCTCTCAGACCTAGCTGCCCTCAGGAGCAAAAAGTGTCCATCATATCCATAATTATCTGGAAAGGAGGTCCATCACTATTGCATCTTAGAAGCATGCAGACAGCATGGCAGTAAATAATCCCATCATCTCAGCCAGAGGAGGTCAGGCAGACATAAATTTAACACCGAGCAGTTTTACATGCTGCAGGGCATTGTAAGGGGGTTTCATCATTTGAAGGATTGATGTCTTGGATCCCCCTTCCCTTCCTCTGTGTTTTGGCTCTAGCCAGGAACTCGAGAGCGGAAGATAAATATATATATATAGTTTTTAGGTTCCATTGATTCCAGCACATCTGACTTCTGCTGGAAATGTGGCTGCTTGGATCCATTTGCAGTTCTGCACTGCAGCTATGTTTTAGTTGGGAGAAACCCTGAAGCAACAGTCGACCCAAAAAACATCCTTTTCAACATAATGCAAGTTCTAATTCTATGAAAAAGTATATATATATATATATATATATATATATATATATATATATAATGGGTTGACATAAAAAAGAACTTGATACAATTTATGAGCAGAAAAGTTAAATGTCAAATTATTAGTCATTTAATTTTTTTCCACCCCTAAAATCCCTAAACATGCAATTGAAATAGCTGTTGCACTAGCCTTCAGATTAAAAATGAAAACACTGGAATTCAAACCTCAACAGTCAGTTTTCCTGGAACCATAACTAGAACGCAGGTACTCAAGTGTGAACACACAGCTGTGTCTACGTAGTCCATCTTTGCATCTACATTTGCTATCAAGTGGTCAGGACGCACTCAAAGAGCTGATGCATCATCTGTCATCCAACACAAGTTGATTCCAGGGCTGCGTTTTAGGGCTGCAACTAACGAATATCTTAATAGTCGACTAGTCACTGACTGTTAGTCAACTAATTGGATAATTATTAAATTCTTCTTAAATTTAACATGAGATTGCTTTAATTGTGTGAAAAATGATAATAAACACAACAAAGGTGGGTACTTCAATGGAAAATGCATGTTTTATTGAACTTTGCTGCTGATAGGCCAATTCATACTAAAAGTAAATAAAAATGCCTTGTCTAACACCAATTAGGCACAGTGCTCAGTCAGCATAGACATAAATGCATAAATAAAATTCAAATACTTTTGTCAGGCACAGTCGGGCATAAAATTACATTTCTCTTTTTTTAAAGCGAAAATACGTTAAAAAATGTACAATGTACATCCAAAACAAAACGGATTGGCTTTCGTGTTATTTAAATCTTACCGAGGTGAGTCAGACTCTGTTTCATTCAACTGTGCGACGTGCTTTCTCTTTAAGTGTTCAAGCGTCAGCGAGGTGCTGCCATGATACACAAGGACTGCTTTGCAAATAATGCAGGTAATCTTTTTATTCGCCAAATCCAGGCTAGAATGCTCCCAAACTTTAGATGTTTTGGTAAGCGTAGCTGCTGTGTTAGACGCCGCCATTTTTGTTAGTTGACGCTCAGCAAAGAAGCTTTTGCGCATGTGCGACTCTCGGCAGAGATTGTAATGGTGAGATGCCTCACTCGGTCGGAAAAAACACATCTGGCGACTATTTCTATTGTCGATGTTTGTCGACAGCGTTGACGAATTGTTGCAGCCCGACTATTTGGATGTTTTCATGACTTTTGTCCACTCATCAAATTTCCCCCCCATGTTTTATTCCCAGCTCTGTTTTTTCTGTCTGCCAAAAAAGAGTTTGAGGGACATTTTGAGCGGAGTTGACTAGCTGCGTCTCTGGAACATTGGGTGTCCATAGTCTGAGCAGCTTTGACTCACTCACTTAAGCAGCTAACATTTCAAATGGGCAATAAAGAGAGTCCTGTAGTCTCGCTAGAACAATAAACCAGAGTCAGGGGTGGGTGTGCAGTGATACAAACAGATATTTCTCTGCCAGCGCTGCACCTGCTGTGCTCAGCAAAATGAGGAACTGAATCAAAGGACACATCGTATACATAAAAGAAAGAGAGCATTATTCACCACAACATCCAGGTGTAACTTTCCCTCTCTGCTCAGGCACACCGAGGTCTTCAGGTCATTAAAATAATGCTGCTTTTCACCCATGCAGCATTGACGTAACAATATATACCTTTTTTTTCACTCAACGTCTGCCTGACAAATGTCCTTGCCACTTGCTGTGTGGACATATGAAGAGGGACTAAGGCTGAGTTGAAGGATGGTATGTGGCGAGATCTAAATCAGCATGGAGGTGAATTTATTTCTATCCCTTCAGTGCAGGACAGAGATGACGGTCAGCTGATGATCCCTAATGTCTGAGCCTTCTCACGCGTTGCTCTGCTTGCAGGAGTAACATTGAACACGGATTTAGCCAGGACCTTGACTTGACTGCCTGATTGTAAGGAGGAGTGCTCTTGTCTTTGCTGTGTGGGTGATTTTATCTGTAAGCGTTTCTTTTATTAGTATATTTCTGCGTGTCCTTATTAGTGACTAAACCCCACTAAGAGGTAACAGATTTATTGGATTTATTATTTCCCTTTTATAACTTATTATTTTTTAGATTGACCTCCAACCACAAGCTTTGATAGATGTTCCTGATTAGCAGGTCTGAGTATGACAAATTAAAGGCCTTTGAAAACACATTTCATCATTTATAATTCAAATGTGTCGTGCCTTGCCTATACAAGCAATTCATCAAGCAGGTATGGCCGTAAATGATTGCTTTTGGATGAGTTCATAAATTTTATTTTCTGCGTTTATGAATTATTGGACACCACTGAACTTTGGCAACCAGAACAAATGTGTGTTGTTCTGCAGCACAAAACAGTTTTAAATTATCGTTTATTTTCTGCTGGAGTGATGAGAAAGAATCTGCATAAAGATAACGCATTGTGCATTTTGACTTTTTAAAATAGTGGATTTTTTTTGTCTTTAGAAGGTGTGGTGAAGCAGAGTCGCGGGGTGCTGCAAATGTTTACAACAAATAATGTCTAAAGGAGTTTACTAAATGTAATGGGTCATTTGCAGTGGTTCTTGTTTTTAACAGAATCGTTTTGAACTTGGAGAATTTGCAAAACACGTTTTCTCAAAATAGTTGCAGCGTTGAAGTGGACATCCAGAGTCCTGATTTTTAATTCTCTGAGTCAAAAATTAGATTTTTTGTGAGGCAAATGTGAGGGGAGCTTGTGGCCACGTTGCAAATAAAACTCCACATGAAGTGAAAGATATTAGTCGAGATAATTTGTACAACTTTCACTTATTGTTTTGGTGTTGCCAAATGCGTGTGTGAGCTAACTAGCAAGTCACAACAATGCCTTATTTAACAAGTCTTTTAGATTTAATTAGAACATTTGCATATATTTTTAAAAGCATACTATACTATTCATACTATACTATACAATCATCTAAAAACTCACCTTTTCCTCCAGGCGTTCCCTCCCTAAATGTTTCAAAAAGATGGCTTTGTTTGGGTTCACACCTTCACTTTGTTTATACTCATGATTTAATTTTCTACTTTATCATTGCTATTGTTTTTCAGATGTTTTTATTGGTTAGAAGTATTTGCCCTGATCTTTATCATGTTGTACAGCGCTTTGTGATTTATATCTGTGAAAGGCGCTATACAAATAAACTTTTACTTACTTACTTACTTACTTACTATGGTCATCTTAAAGACCAAATGATGATGTTTCTAGAGATAAAAACATGCACACCAGGAAAAAATATGCATGCATCTATAGACAGATTTACATTAAGAGGATGCTGTCCCCCAGCTGGAACCTTTTTGATGCTGGTGCAAGGACAGCGGTGTTAGCAGAGAGCCATGTTCTGATTGTACTACACCACTGAACATAGTTGGAGGGGGAAATGAGATTCTGGGACATAATGTTTAGTCTCCCTCTACATTTATAAAAGCTTTAATCATTGTGATGTCAAAGGGTGCTTGGCTGAGTTCCTCTCCCATGTTGCCTGAGAGGTGGGTCACCTCTGTAATATGGGGGATGTCACTTAATGATTTATTTATATGAAAGTTTTTCTCCCATTAAGTTTCTCCTCTGATCTTTGTGTTTCTGACATGCTTGCATGTCTCAGTAGCCTCTTGACGATTTCACCCTGCTATTCATCACCACACAGGTGGTTTTAAACTGAAGCAGGGGCACTAACATTTCAAATAAAAATAAACGTCCATGAACATTTGCTTTTACTGGTGCTTATTAGTTTGCCCTCTTGCTATCAAGTCCAGTCAGCCCTTCACATGCATTTGGAGTAAATATTCATTTTAAAGCAGAATGTTTCACTTGATTAACATTTGACCTTGTAATTCCCAGATATCTCCATCAGAGTCAGGAAGAGAGCAAGGAATTGGGCACGATTTAAACCATCAGTCTTAATGTTTGAGTAAACAGGGGCATGATGCTACAGTGCAGAGATCGGTTTGTTTTAACAGTGTTCGTGTAATCATTAAGATTCTCTCTCCTCTCACATTAAATCCAATTAACAGCCCAAAATTCAATGACTGTATAACTGAGATGAATAAAACGTAGCGTCCCTTCTGTGTGCTTAACCCTTGCAGGCAGTGCATGCACCATGTCGGAGTACAACAAACTGAAGAGCATGCTGCTGGACATGCAACCAACAGTGCTGAAGTCTGGAGAGCAGAGCCAGCAAAGGGACATGGAAGAGAAGCGAGCACTGGTGGACACAATGTTTAAATATCTTGATGTGAACCAGGACGGCCGACTGATCAGCGATGAGTTGGAAAAGGTGGGTCTAGAGCTGAAACACTAAATGGTCTCAGTGTATGAACTCCAGAAGGATAAAACTCATATGACATTTGAAAAAGAAGGTTTGGCTTTATTTATTTGGCCATAACTGAAGTGTTTGTGAATTAGAGTTGAAAAATATTTCACTAAATCATGAAAAATATGCGGCAGCCTTTTTCTTTTTTTTTTTTTTTTTCTTTTTTTTTGCAACCATCCATTCAGTCACATAGTTTCAGCTGTGAAACCAAAACATGGAACTACACCATTGTGCAACCCACTGTGCTGCAGCTTTGCTGGCACCAATGGGGAAAAGTACCAAAGAACCAACTTCATTAGAAAATTATAAGTAATTAAAACATAAACTGGTTTTATTTGCTGCGTTATCTCAAAACAGGAACCTATTTTTCAATTCAAATTCAATTCAAAAATACTTTATTAATCCCAGAGGGAAATTAGAGATTTGTTCTAATCTACAATTTTTTTTTGTGCTTCACAAGAAACACAACCTGTTGATAGATATTTAGCAGCAACCTTTAGTCTTCTAGTTCAAAAATTCAATAAATCAACAGATTTTCTCTCCAGAAAGGTTCAGAAAAAGGAAAATAAACTGTAGACTGAGTCTATATTGACATTTTCATGCTGAAGTTAAATTACCGAGAGTCTCATCTGGTGTCAGGAAATGGGTATCACCGATGAATGGTAATCAATCTCCGCCCATGTAGCACTGAGATCTCAGCGACTGTCATTGTGCCAAAGAACGCTGACCCACATTAAAGTCAGACAACTGAAACTGTCCTTGGGTTCTTCATGTCTAAAACTCTGAATTAGCTTGAGTTTCCTCTTATGCAAAAGACAACAAAAAGCCAGAATGATGTCAAAGAAGCTTATTACAAGCTGAACATTTATGAGCACAGCTAAATATAGTCTCAGCAGGCAGAAAAGATCGTTTTTGTTTAGCAGATTTTGATGTTGCAAATTCCAACAAGTTGTGTCCTCTTTTAGCTTAGAAAGAGAGAAGAAGACAGTGACTTTTGCCTTCTATGGTAGGGTTGTATTAAAAGATTAAATAAAGCCAGCGTGTCACTGCAAAATCTTTGATAAGACATTCTTACTGTGTAGGAATTCATAAATTCTGTTTGGCATAGATAATGCTTTTAAGGATCAAAGGGGAATTCCAGTCATCCACGAGGCCTGTCTTCACTTTGGAGCCGTCTTTTGTCATGGCTAATGCTGGACGGTAACGTCCTGTACTTAAAGTTTAAAATGTTTTATTGAAATGCCGGAGGGCAGAGGAGTCTGACAGAGAACTTGTGGCAGTGAAGTCCGCTTCAGGCAGCAACATGAGATAAAGAAAAAAAAAAAGTTTGTCACATCTTTTAATCTGCCGTGTCACATATGCAGCTCCCTACAAAATCTGCTAGAGTAGATTACCACGGAGCAGGTTTAGGCTTTACTACCCAAGGGGATGATGCTTGTGATGTCATCAAGCTTTTAATTACCTTGTCGGCATTTTGACATACACACATAAACTCTGTAAAAGTCCATCTGGCTTTTTTTTTTGTGTGTGGTTTTAAACTAAGAACTTTAACCTCATTAGGGGATTTTGGCCTGTAACTCTACGAGTTTCTCAGGTGTTAAATGCTAAATGGCCTGTATTTGTATAGTGCCTTCTTAGGGTTCTACAACCCCCCAAGGTGCTTCACAACACAATCAGTCATTCACCCATTCACACACACATTCACACCCTGGTGGAGGTAAGCCACGATGTAAGTACATGCTCGAGGCTGCCGAGCACTGGTGCCACTGTTCCCTTCGACCACTACCAGCAGACAAGGTGGGTTAAGTGTCTTGCCCAAAGACACAACATTAGCATTATCTGGTTGGAGCCGGGATCGAACCTGCAACCTTCTGATTACAAGATGACCTGCTCTACCTCGTGAGCTACTCCTGTCGTCAGGTGTTCCTCCATGTCTTTGAGATCTTTCCAGGGGTTCTATTAATCAACTTTACAGTCGTGGAAGTCAGTCTTGTATTATCCAGTTTAGTTCACAAATGATTTATATGTTTTCTAATTTTTGAAGACTGAATATTCAAATATTTATTTTGAAGGGCACGTCACTGGGTTCATCTACCAGCTAATAGAGGGCACCATTGTGGGTTGCCCAACAGTCCGCTCAGCACAGTGAGGCTGGCACTGTGGAAAATGATGGACTTGGCAAGTCAAGCTGCTGCTTCTGAGCCTAGAAGATGTCATCATCCTTCTTAGAAGAAGAGCGACTCTAAAATATCTAAAACTAGAGAGTTTAGGTGAAGCCTACAACCGAAGGACCCAATAAAAATGTTCACACATCGACAATGAACCTGGTATCCCGACTACTGGAAACCTTGTTCTATTGTTGCAACTACAACCTCTACATACTAGATGTTGCTTGGTGTTCGTGTTCCATGGTCAACCTTTAACAAGTACCTGGTTCCCCCAGAGACTTGTTTGCAAGTTTATGTTGTAAATGGCACAATAGTATCTTCAAGCTACTGTAACATTTGTCAAAATATTTTCTCTGAGTAAAATAGGTTTTTATGATACTTTTACTTTTCTAGGCAGTTTTTTTTTTGACAACAATTTTGACCACAGCCTAAGAACTGTCGCTTAGAAATCCAGAAAAACCCTAGCAGTAGCAAAGTCATGCTCCATTGTCTCCCCAGGGGGTTTACCATTAGCCTAAACAATTTTAGGTCAGGCCAATCACAGCATTCTATGTTTGTAGAGAGATGCTGGGCTGGCTTAGTGCCAGAGCTGCATTAGAGAAAAACTACAAAAATGGTATCAGCTCAGAAACTACGCTTGTTTGAAACGGCCTTGGAGTCAACTTTGGACGAGTTAGACTTGGGCTTTTCTACAGAACATGAGCAGACAGAGGTACTTAAGTCCTTTACTTAGAAAAAGCTTATTTTTCTTCTATGGTGTTTGGTGGACCGCACCGTTGACTCATTTCTGTAGCAATGAACTTCTCACATTGTTGGTTGCTCTTATTTGTCCCAACGCTGTCTGTCGCAGAGACAATCGTAAATTCTGCCCCATGACTGAGCTCTGTCTATGGGTCATGGCCATACAACATATATATATATATATATATATATATATATATATATATATATATATATATATATATATACATATATGTATGTATATGTATATATATATATATGTATGTATATGTATATATATATATATATATGTGTATATATATATAAATATATGTGTGTGTGTGTTTGTGTGTGTGTGTGTTTTTATACGTTAAACTACAAAGTCTTCAGATTGTAATGTTAACTGTGCTTTATGGTGTGCTGGTTACATTATGAGCCAAATATAACTCTTGCCCATGCTTTTTCAATCTAGCAGGTCTTGGGTTTACCATTTTTTATTCAACCGAGTCTTCCTCTTAGCAAAATATATCCTCAGAATAAATTTTAATGATGTTCTTGGAAATTCTTCCTTGGATGCATTTCTAGATCTGAAAAATCTTTCAGGAGTCAACACTATCCTAGATTTTTTTTTCCATAACTATAAGCGACTTTAGCAGACCATAAAATAAGAAAGGTAATAATAAGTAATTTTGAGCTGGGCCCTGGTGTGATCATGACTTTTAATCATCCCCACATTGGAATTAAATGGTGTGAAATCACGTTTAACAGTATTTTCAAGGTTTACCAAAATGTCTAAAACGTCCTCAGTTCTCAACGTAATGTTCTACTTTAAGGAAACAAGTGTTTAGGGAATGCAAAGCTTTTATTTTGAAATGTTTTGTGATGTGTGGAATGTAGGTCTCAATGAAGGAGCACCTGGAAGACAATCTCCTGGAGTGCACCATGCATGATCTGCTCCGTTACGATGACTACAACAATGATGGACATCTCAGCTTACATGAGTTCTACACAGCTTTTCGTAAGTTTTTTTTATTTTTATTTAGTCTCGCAAACCAGAGTGTTTTTATTATCCTAAACCTTTATTGTTTGTCAAATATAAATGTATTTCTCCAGTTCCGTTGGACACAACTGTTGGTGCATTTTCAGCATTTTTTTCAGCTATAAATTCCTATTATTGTTGCTCAGTTTGATTAGTTAGTTTTCTTTGGCTGACACACAGTTTAAAACAGAAATTCCAACCATACGTTTAAAGCACAGCTTACTGTTTGGGTAGTATTTACAGCCAGATGATGAGCCGTCCTCTCCACTCAGCTTCACCTCTGCAGCAATCAGGATAAAAGTGTTTCAGCCAGATAAAACGATAATTGCACACCTGCACATGTGCCCAGACTCAGCCTTGATTATAGCATCTGGAACTGCTATAATAGCCTCTGAGGTTTGGGGTGAGCAGTAGCTGAGAGCCAGGGCTGGTTCCACCTTATTAAAATCAATAATCACAATTTGTTCGCTAATGTTACTGTAACATTAGCCTTACAATTGCTACCTGTCATGAAAGCCCACTCATTTTCTCAAGAAAAACATGTATTTTACTAGTTTTTGGCCTCCTTTATACAGCCCTTCCAATAGCTAACACATACATGAAGTCTGGCTCTAACACGGCAATAAGATCAGACAAAATTTGTCAATACAGCAGTTAGCAGTGGCAGGCGGCCATTTCTAAGGCTTTACTTTCAGCTTGTGCAGGTCTATTAAGCCTCTCCAATAATTCAGACCCCCTAATGACCAGTTTTAGAAAGAAACTTCCCACCATTTTTGCTATGCTCATTTCCCCCTCCAGATGGGCAGAGGGTGGACATAACGTTTTATTCATCTACCTACAGATTTGCCCGCAGCGTTTTGGGGCGAGTTTGTCGATGCATTTTATGTTTGACAAGCAGCTGAAGAGGTGGTCTGGGACCAATAACAAGATATTGATCAGATAACGCTCAAGGTTAAGTGTTGGACTGCAGAAAGGCAACGCCGAGGGGGGGTAATAATGTTTGAGTGGCACATCTGGTATTCTCTGTAATGTGGATGGTGTTAAATTGTGTAACTTTGTATAATTGTGTGAGCGTGCTGGAGGTGTCTGTGTGTCACGGGACGCAGTCGGCATTCCAGCCATGTGGTCGGGGGAAAACGGTGCTGCCAGGAATCGCAGGTGTGCTTACTTGGGTGGAAATTGACAATATGGACATTAGCTCGGAAAAATAAATACAAAAAATGGATCCAAACGATGATTTATTTTTCCTGGCTGATTTTTGTTTTCAAGCCAAATGCCTGATCTGATATGAACTCAGGTGCTTGATTTATTTTAGGTGGGTTTGATAAATCAAAGCAGTTCTTTGGATTTCATATTCTCTCCTTGTTTATAACCCCTGCTGTTCTACAGCTTTTCCTTAGGAATCAGAAGCTATTTCCCCAGAGAACAACTCAGCTTTACTGTTGATCTGCACTAAACTTGTGCTTAGTGAGGAAAAAAGCGTAACTATCCAGGATTGTCTTATTTCTTTTCCAACATATAAATGTTGACATTCACACCACTTTACAAAGCTCTGTTCTGTTGTTGCTTCATTTTAACAAGTTGAGTAGAAGAAATAAGGTCAGAGTATGCTCCTGATTACATTCTTATTGACCCACAACTTCCCTTTCTACCTTTTAAAAGCACCGTTGGTTGGGTTGCCTCTTTTGTAATATTATTTTGCTCGACTGCCTGCTGGAGACCGAAGCTAAGTAGAATTCATTTTAATACCTTTTGAACTAAACTGAACCGATTCATTGAAAAGTGATTTTAGATGATTAATGGGAGACTGGACATTAACAATGTTGCAACATTCAGTTTTAAATGTGATTCCATCAATCAATCTAAGCAAGGCAAGGCAGCTTTATTTGTTTAACACTTTTTGCACAGAGGCAATGCAATGAGCTTTCCATGAGCAAGAACGGCAAAATCAACATGACAGCTAAATTAAAATACTAATAAATTTAGATCAAATTAAATACACAAATAAGATTCAGATTTAAGAATCAGATAAAGACTAAGCTAAAGGCTAAGCAGTTACAGTGCAGAAGGTGCAGCATAAGAAACCTTCATCCAAAGGCTGATTCCATCTCTGTGCTAGCCTAGTGAACTAGACCAAATTCTTGCTTTGCAAAGTTTGGTCTAGGCATGCTCCACTGGAACCGCTGCTGCCCCAACAGCATTCTGGCTGGCCAATCACAGCTCTCTAGAGGGGTTTTAAACACATAAAGAGCTGTGATTGGCCCACCATTATGGACCAATCATAGTGCTCTATCTGCTTAGTGAACAAATCACAGAGCTTTATCCGCTTTGTGAACCAATCAGGGCACTCTATATGCCTGGTGGGTGGGATGATGCAACAGAGTGAAACAAGAGTATGTCACATTCATTGTCCAGTGGAATGCGGAGATCATTTGAAAGACAACGGTAGAACCCGCCCCACAACCGAGAGCCGTCAATGGAGCGTGGCCAGACTAAATAATACATTTATTTAGTCTGGCTTGCCAGGCTATCTCTGTGCAGCATCATCCATAATCTTCAGCTTATCTGGGGTTGGGTTGCGGAGTAGCAGCCCAATCAGGAAGGCCCAGACTTCTCTTTCCCCAGTTACTTGGGAAAGCTCCTCCAAGGGAATCCTAAGGAGTTTTCTGGCCTGCCGAGAAACAGTGTCCCCGGTCTTCTCTTACCCCTACTTCACACTGGAACCATTGGCGGCGCAGAATGGCTTACTTGCTGCATGCCAGTACACAACGAGCGCATCAGCGGGCTCCTCTGATTTTTGCCGTCCTTCTCACTTGACTTTCGAGATCACAAGATCCCTCAAGACTTCACAGATCACGGCTTGTTAATGCCATCCGCCATTGAACTAAAAAGAAGGAAATCATGTTTGATGTAGCTGTTAAATGTGATATATGATGTTGTTTCTCTCTAGGACTTCTCAAACTATGCTGGGCGTAAATAAGCCATTAGGTGAAATATATTTATGAAATCTACATAGATATGAAATTGCATTGCTGTAATACTCTTATTTTGAAAATTATTGAAGGTTTTACACTGAAACAGTGTGATTTCCTGTCTAGCCTTATGTTAACTGTGGAAATTGACATGTCCTAAAAGCCGCTCACAGCAAAAATAGAACTCAATCTTATCTTTAGCGGTGCTTCACAAATCACCCCCGTAGTCCATAATGGATTCTATGTGAAGCAGTGATGTTCCGCTGCCTTTCCCCGCTGCTGATGCTTCCAGTGTAAAGTAGGGGTGAGGTTTCCTACGGGTTGGATGTATGTGGAAAACTTCACCAGGGAAATGTCCAGGAGACATCTGTACCAGATACTTGAGCCACCTCAACAGGCTGCTCTTGATGTGGAGGTGCAGCAGATCTACTCTGAGCCCTTTTTGGATGACTGAGCTTCTCCCTCTATCTCTAAGGGAGAGCCCAGACACCCTGCGGAGAAAACTGTTTTCAGCCACTTGTATCCGAAACCTTGTTGATTTGGTCGCTACCCAAAGTTCATGACCATAGGTGAGGGTAGGAAAGCAGATTAACCGGTAAATTGAGAGCTTCCACTTTCCGGTTCAGCCCTCTCTTCACCATGTCAGACCGGTACAACACCCGCATCACTGCAGATGCAGCACCAATCTGCTTGTTGATCTCCCTTTCCAATCTAACTTTTCCTCATTCCTGAACTTCCACCCGCTTCTTAAAAAAACGAGTCTCGACCCCTCTCTCCATAGCAGCTTCAGACCCATCTCTAAACTTCCGTTCATCTCCAAGATCTTGGAAAAGGTTGTGGCTAAACAACTCACAGCTGCTCTTGATGAACAGAACATCTATGACAGCTTCCAGTCAGGTTTTCGTAGACCTCATTCTACTGAAACAGCTCTTCTTAGGGTCTCTAATGACCTTCTGACACACAGTGATGCAGGGGACAGTTCTGTTCTGGACCTGCTGGACCTGACTGCAGCCTTTGACACTGTTGACCATCACCTGCTACTGGAGAGGCTGAGAGACTGGGTAGGCCTATCAGAATCTGCTCTGGAGTGGTTCTCCTCTTATCTCTCTGAGCGCTCCTTTTCTGTGGCCGACTCCAAGTTTAGGTCCTCCACCACCTCTCTTACCCATGGTGTCCCACAAGATTCTGTGCTGGGGCCTCTACTATTCCTCCTCTATCTGCTTCCTCTTCAGCACATCCTGAGCTCCTTCAAAGGAATCTCCTACCATCTTAATGCAGATGACATCCAACTGTACATCTCCTTTAAGCCCCATGAGATGTCTAAGCTGCAGCTGTTACACTCCTGCTTAGACTCTATCAAAACCTGGATGGCTGGGAGCTTTCTTCAGCTGAATGAAGATAAGACTGAGATCCTCATCTGTGCCCCAGACAAGCTGGTTCCCACAGTCAGAGACTCTCTTGGTCAGCTTGCTTCCCACACCAAACATTCCTTCAGGAATCTTGGCGTGACCTTTGACCCAGCTCTCACCCTGGATTATCATGTCAGTTCTCTTGTTTGCTCTTCCTTCTTCCATCTCAGGAACATTGCTAAGCTGAGTCCCATTCTGTCCTGGTCTGAACTTGAGACAGTTATCCACACCTTCATCTCCTCACGCTTAGACTACTGTAACTCTCTTTTCGCATGTCTGAGCAGAACCTCCCTGAACCGTCTACAGGTGGTTCAGAATGCCTGTGCTCAGCTTCTGACCAAGTCCTCCAAACACACCCACATCACCCCGCTTCTCCTCCAGCTTCACTGGCTGCCAGTCAACTTCAGGGTTCATTTCAAGATCCTGGTTCTGGTCTTTAGGGCCTTACATGGACACGCACCATCTTACATTGGTGATCTTCTTAGTCCCTACACCCCCAGCAGGTCCCTGAGGTCCGGTGATCAAAGCTTACTGGTTGTGCAGCACCAGGCTAAAGACCAAAGGTGACAGATCATTTGCTGCTGTGGCCCCCAGACGC